TCGGGCGCCGCGGGGGTGAAGGTGGAGCCGGGGAGCCGTTTGTCTCCCGAGTCGCAGCTGACGGAGACCCCCGACGGAGCCTCCGCGTCCCCCGGCAGCAGCGAGGGCAGCGTCTGCGACCGCAGCTCGGAATTCGAGGACTTCTGGAGGCCGCCGTCGCCCTCCGTGTCTCCGGGTAAGGACTCGCTGGGAGCGCCAGGGTCCGGGGCGCAGGACCGCTCGGCGGGGCAAGGGAACTGTGCGGCTTTGGGCGCAGAAATGCTAACTGGGTGGCGGAGGGTCTTTCCTAGAGGAGGCAGAGTTTTCATGGGGGATAGGGCCGCAAGGGAGGCACCCGACTTTCTGGGACTGTGGCAACCTGCTTGCGGGACCCCCTGCGTGGACCCGAGGCGGCGGGACCCGGGCTGTTCATCCCTACCCGGTTTGTTTTCGCAGAGCGGGTGGGTGAGAAAAAAAGTAAATGAGTCGTCTCCAGCGTCAGCAACGTCGACATTTCGTTTTCAGGCCAGAGTTCATTGTTTAGAAAGAGCAGGGATCCCAGAATCCAGAACCCCGAGTCTCCAACAAATGGAGACCAGGGAAGTCTGAGAGGAAAGTGTCATTGGCTTTAAAATGTGCTCTCGCTTCCGCGGCGTGGGGGCCCTCCGCAGAGCTAGGCGTCCGGCGGGAGGAACCCATCCCGGATGAAAATCTCGGCCCCCCGCTTGGGTCTTCTGAGGCGGGATTGGGGGCCCGTTTTATTTTTTTGTTCTGCCTGGTGGGTCCAGTTCTGGGGACCAGCAGGCTGGTTTCATTTCCATCGGGGCAAGTCGAGTTTCTAGAAAACTGCGTGAGAACACATCGGGTGGGGCCTGGGGAAGGAGAGCGCAGACCAGCCGGACCTGCCAAGGGTCGGTTATTTAAGGTTGCGTTTACTAGTTTTAAAAGGAACCTCCACCCCCACCCCCGCAACACACACACCCCATCCCGCACTCGGTGCGTCGGTTAAAGACAGAGATCCAGCGCTGAGTCTGGGGGCCAGCAGGCCGAGGTTTCTTCTTGGCGGTGCTGGACACCACCCGCAGGTCTGGGCACCGCGGCCTCTCGCCCTCGGGAGCTCGGAGCGCGGCAGCCTCCATCTGAAGCGGTTGGTTCGGAGAGGAGTCTGCAGTGCCTGAGCAGATTGGCAGATCCGTGTGCACTTACAGAAAATCTACGTTGGGGATTTGTTTTTGTTTTTTGTTTTTTTGGTTTTTTTTAGCAAGATTCTTGTTGGTTGGGGTGGATGCAGAAAGCTGCGAGTTTGCAAAGTTATTCCCCTTAGAGTTGGTGGCTAAACCTTAGTTGTAAATTATTTTTTAAGAAATTTGGATTTTTTTTTTCCTGTCAAACTATGATGGAAATGGGAGTAGTATTTGGCAGGCAGTTCCAGCCCCAAATCCCCTTCCGGCTGCTCCTTCGTTACCTGCACTGGGTGAGCCCTTAATACCTTTAAGGAATGTTACGCCTTCCCTTTGCAGTTGTTGCGGTTGTTTTCCCAGAAAGGTAGGTCTTGGGTAGACCGGGCCACATTTGATTGGTCCTCTCCTTCCCTCTTTATCAATCTCAGGAATGAAAAGGGACTGAGTGGGGACAATCAGGGCCCGGGTAGCGCCGGAGCTGGGCCCTCTGCCCACGCACGAGTGCTGCCCAGGCCGCCCTCTCCTCCCTCACAGCCCGGCTCAGAGCATTGATTGCGCACAGGCAGCGAGGCGCGCCTTTCTCTGTGGGAACACCAGGTGCGCTGGCGGAGCCGGCAAAGACCCTCTTAACCTCGTGCGCTTCCGCTGTCCTGGCACAGAATGACCGACCTCCTCGCCCGATGTCGTTTACACGATCTGTTTGCTGCCTCCAGTGGTCCTCGAGGCCTCAGGGACCGGGACTGCGTTTTATCCTGCGGACGTCCCTGGCATCTAGCGCGGCAGCTGGCGCACGGGGTGCTGCAAAAATGCTGGCGGCCTGGCAGTCCGTGTTAAGCCTGACCGGACGCCCTCTCGTGTCTCCTCAGCTTCGGAGAAGTCGGTGTGCCCATCGCTGGACGAAGCTCAGCCCTTCCCCTTGTCCTTCAAGCCCTACTCCTGGAGCGGCCTGGTGGGTTCTGACCTGCGGAATTTGGTGCAGAGCTACCGGCCGTGCGCGGCCCTGGAGCGCGGCGCAGGCCTGGGCCTCTTCTGCGA